CAGAATGCAGGCAGTCCACGGCGTCATCTATACGTGACAAAGGGTAGACGTCTTTTTTTGTGATGGCATTTAGGCGACGATAGTCTACGCAGAATCTCCATGAATTATCCTTTTTCCTCACTAGAATGACAGGAGCTGCCCATGGACTACACGATTCTTGCATGACGCCCTTCTTTAGCATGTCTTCAACTTGCTCAGCGATGACTTTCCTTTCGGAAGGCGAGACACGATAGGGCTTCTGGCGTATTGGTGGTGCTTGGCCTGTATAGATGCGGTGTTGCGTACGTGAAGACGGTGGCGTAACGGTAGACGTCTCGTCTTGGGCAAAGTCAAAGACTGAGGCGTAGCGTGTGATCACCTCCTGCAGCAGCGACCGTTCAGTTGATGGAAGTGACTTGTTAATCATACGGTCAATGCTGGCAGAATAGTCGCGGTACGAGTTGGCGTGGGGTTTCTTTCCATCCACCGACAGTTGGAGTGACCGTATGGTAAGAGTACTTTGCTCTTGAAAGCTTGCCAATTTAAGTCCTGCAGGCAGATATATGGGCTGCGCGGAAACGTTCACAGTCCACAAATCGGCACAACCATCGACGATGAGCACGAGGCAACAAGGCACAATAACGTTTTTCTTAAGGGCGTTACTGAAGTTCGGCTCGGCTAAACCATAGTAAGAACCCGCACAAGAACGCGAAGAGTTTACACGCACAAACATTGCGGTATGTGGGGCCAAGCAGACGTCTTCAGACACGGAAAACACTTCCAAGCAGTCATCAACGGTATCTTTTGTCAATGGAGGCGGCAACACGGGACGAAAAATAATCCCACCACTACCACAATCTAGAGTTGCACCACATTCCCGCAAAAATCTATACCTAGAATGACGTCATGGGTCGCTCGTGCAAGCACCGTTAGTTCCGCTCGAAACGTTTGATTTCCTATAGAAAGTAAAACAGAACAAACTCCAACCGGGCTCAACGTTTCTCCCCCTACGCCGCGGAACGTAGCACTCCGATTCCAAGCAAACATTACTTTCGTCCCTAGGCGATTTTTAAAAGACATGCTCATTATAGAAACGGCAGCACCGGTATCAACTAGTGCAACAGTACTCACATTGTCTACAAAAACACTCACTTTGTTCTCAACCATTACAACACAAGGGGGTCTTGCGGAAGATGATTTTGCGGCCTCGCCCCTATTGGTCGCACCAGTTAGTTTCCCAGTGGTGGTGGCGTCTTCGAGCGGCGACGCGGAGACGGGGATCGCTGTTGGCGTGCTGGTGGTGGGGTAACGCTGCGGTCGGAGCAAGGCGAGTCAGCACGTGCTGTGTGTTGCTGTTGGAAAGAGCCCTGAAATGGTCGAGACTCGCCAGCAGGTACATAGGGCGTGTACACGTTGAAACGTGGAGCTCGCTGCTGGCGACGGTAGCAGTACCTAGCGATGTGTCCAGGTAGCCCGCAGTTGTAGCAAGTACGGGTGTCGCGTCTAGTCGTCCCCGGCGAAGTAAACCTCGTTGGTTGATAAAAGCCGGGCGATGGTGGTCGAGGAGTGAATCGCTGTGACGCAGCTTGCCTGCGTTCCTGGTTTCCGAGTGGTCGTTCACTCCTCCGTTCGAACCGATCGGTGTAATTCGGGCGAGGCTCAAAGTAGCTCTGTCGCATCCGAGGGTACCAGTGGTTCACGGGGCCGTTGGTCGAATGCACACTGATGGCAGACACTAGCGGTGTCCACAGCTTGCAGTTGAGCAAGTTCTTCCTTAACTACTCGTCTTATAAGAGAAGAGATCTCGTCCTGCGATGGAAGGTTGACACTTGCAATCGTGGGCACGTTGTCAAGACGTCCAAATTTTGGTAGGACTCTCCTCCTCTTTAGGGTTTCAAACGCTCGGCAGTGTCTCCTAAGTCGGAAGGTGTGTGTAAGTCTTCCTTAGTGATAAGGAAATTGTACACGTCTTCCGCGATTCCCTTGAGGAGATGAACTACCTTGTCTTCGTCACACATGGTCGCACTCACAATTCCGCAAAGCTTCAAGACGGCCTCGATGTAGGTGGTGCATGTTTCGCCAGGTAATTGAGCCCTGCGTGAAAGCGTTTGCTCCGCCTGCTTGACCTTAGCTGTTGAGTCACCAAAACACCTCTTCAGCTCGTCCACGAAAATGTCCCATGTGGTCAATGCACTCTCATGGTTGTCGAACCAAAGAGACGCGGTGCCGACGAGAAAAAACACCACGTTCTCGAGCTGCTTAGCAGTGCTCCAGCGGTTGCTGCGACTCACTCTTTGGTAGTGCTTGAGCCAGTCGTCAACATCGTCATCCGGCTGCCCCGAAAAGGTCCTCGGCTGACGTTCCGGCATGCCGCAGCGATCTTGTCCTGGTGGGTGAGCGTGTTGCTCATCAACAACGAGGTTGTTATGGCCTGCTCCCGCGTCCTCCATGTCTGGTAGCTGTCGTGGCAAGCCTGCCAAGCGTCTGCTCCGTCGCAAAATCGGTAGAGCTGGGTCGTCCAGATCGATGTACCCGGCACCTTCCACCAAACTGTTGCGAGTGACTGTGTTTATTTACAGATGAGGTGAAAAGGCGTTGTGAAATAGCAGCGTACTTCTGAGACAGGCCAAGAACGCTTCCACCCAACCACACAGTCCAGGCGCCGCTCCACTACTCTTCTTCTTCTTCCGCGCCCCGTAGGCTCGCGCATCTTCGTTTCAATATCACTAGCGGTCATCAATACAAAACATACACTGGGGCAACATGGCACAAGTCATACAAAACTACCTTTTCAGGTAGAAATTTAAAGACAGAACCTTAAAACAATGACAAATACTTGGACACAAGGTGTCAATGGAGTTACCAACTCAACAAGTGATCTTGCCTTCTAACTGCCTTGAGAAGATGAACAATTGTTAATACATAGACGCCATTGTCACCCCGTATTCTATGATTTTTCAACATTGCATGTACACCCATCGATAATATGTGGGGTTTAATGCTCCAAAACCACCACATGATTATGAGAGACGCCGTAGTGGAGGGCTCTAGAAATTTTGACCAGCTGGGGTTCTTTAACGTGCACCCAAATCTGAGCGCATGGGCCTACAGCATTTTGCCACCTGCATGTACACCCATGAGCAAAAGTAGAGACCACAGAAACGCATGACAAAATTGCTGTCTGAATCATCCAGTGGCAGGCTGTCTGCTGTCGAAAGCGTAGCTCTGGTTGCGCAGAGCACTGCTTTTGACAGCAGATGGTTAGCCACTAGAAGGTGCTAATAGAAATTTCGGCATGTGTTCCAGTGGTGTGCATACTTATACTCCCGTGTGTGCCTCATATGAAGATTGCCAACAATAAATGCTCCCTTCATGTTACAACAGCACAATATTTTGTTTACAAATGCTGGCTAAATCAAGGGAAGACCCTTAAACGGCAATTCTGACTCTCTCACCAGGCAGTAAAGTACGGTCATGCACATTTTTCAATATGACCTGTACATACACATCCAAAGGTGGCTCAGAATAATTTATCTCCTTGTCATGAATAATTGTGAAGGGAAGTTTATTTGCCAAAAAGTAAAATTTTTGGTAATAACGTCGGCTGCTTATGACCAAGCTATTCACTTTTTCTGCAACAATATGTTTTCTCTAGCACTTTTCTCGTCTTGGAACTTAATTAACCTTATTTTCCTTTACAAATATGCAGTAAATACACTTCTGTAAACTTTACAATGTATAATGATGGTCAATTACTTTAGTTTGAATAGAACTTTAAGACTACCCATTTAAGAGAGACATCTTCAGAGATGTGGTGCATAACTGATAAGAAAAAATAGAAGCATGGGAGTATATTTTATATGATACCTTAAATAGACGGTAAACTTTAGCTCTAAACTTCGGCAAATTTCGTTAAAATCCGCTTAGAGACCTTCAAAAAAATACGTCTTTTCCACATGAAAAAGCCGCATTCGTGTCCAATAGTGTCTTCATAGACTTGTCCGTAAATAATTATTCGTATGCTTACTTCTTATTTTCTTATATTTATTTATATATGGCTAATAAGAAAAGATAATAATCGTAGTCAAACTTGTTATACAACCATTGTACCACACGTTTGCATTATTAATAGTAAAGACAATTCAATAAGTCAACATGAACACTACAAAGAGCCAATCCAACAAGCGCGCTTGAACACTGCAAAAATACAATTCAAGTCCGCTTGAACACTACAAGCCAAACTGTAGCAGGTCCGAATTTTGCCCAGGCTTCAAAATCTATTGGCAGAACTAAATACAAAAAAGACGAAACACAAGCGCCGACAACGAAGTGTTGAGTCTCCCTTTAAAGCCATGAACTGCTTTTCACTATCTGCGACCAACTTGGTCTATTGAAAATACTGCTTGAACGGTTTAGTACATCATCATGCAAGTACGAGCTTGAAGAAAGAACGCCCTTAGAGGCACGTCTTTTCCTCACATGTTCATGTGAGGAAAGTACGCAAAGAAGCATATATGCCGTGTTACGGAGCGTCCTTTCCTTGTTCAACAGAAGTCAAACATTTACAGACACTTGGCATTGCCGGCATACTAAGCCTGGATTACGGTACACTTAACCCAGCACTACAAGAGTACCATGACTAATTTGCTAAACTCACTGGTTGATAACACTACCATGCGGTGACCATCGTGTAATCATGTGTAAACGTTAAAAACTGAATAACGGAACACCTACCAGTATACTAGTAGGCTGCTACTACCAGTGACTGAATCTTCTGAGCGAGCCTGAGTCAATTTGATAGTCAAGCCAATCTGAATCAACGTTTTCTCAATTTATTTAACAATAATTAAACTTTTGCCGGGACAATAACCTTAAGTCGTATAGTTGGTCATTTTTTGTTGTCCAAAATAGTTTGATTTGCAGCGTTCAAAATTTCACCAGCTGATTATCAGATGGTAGTTTTTGTTAGGTAGCGCTACCTACTGGCGCAGGCTGCGCTTTGCGACCGATCGCTAGTTTTAATCGTTGTGCGCGGATTTCGCAGTAGCGTTCGATGCGCCCGTGGTAGTGATCTAAATGAAGTTTCGCCGAGGCATTACTAAGCTAAAGAGTCGGATTCTAGTCCCTCTAATGGTTCAAATATTATAGCGGGGCGTCCGAGCAGTCTTCTGTCGTGAACATGCTGCCAGGGGTAGGTGTTTTCGGAACTGGTAAGTCGGTGCGAGTGCTGGTCCCGTGTTTGCGCTCTCGTGGCTTCAAGGTAGAAGCCATTTGGGGCCGGACTATCGACACGGCGAAGGAAGCTGCTTTGGAACTGGGCATTCCGTTTTATACGAACAAGGAGGATGAGGTACTACTACGCAAGAGCGTCGATTTGGTGTTCATCATGTGCTCTCCTCACCAACACGCCCAGATCGCCGTCAAGGCTCTCGGAATTGGAAAGCATGTTTTGTGTGATCGCCCCGCTGGTCTGTCACAGTCGGAAGTACTTAAGATGGTGCGAGCAGCGCAGTACTACCCAACGCTCATATCGGTGCTTTGTCACAGTCTGCGATTCCTACCAGCTTACGTTCACATGAAGCGGCAGATACAGGACGGCTATGTGGGAACCGTGCAGATAATTGAGGCTCGTGTACACTGCGGTTCTCTCGTCCACGACTGCTATGACTGGACGTGTGAAGAGTCCATGGGAGGGGGTGTGCTGTCCACATTTGGTAGTCACATCATCGACATAGCGGCATTTGTGACGGGTCTTCGCGCAGTTCGCGTGCACGGCTTGACGAGGACGTTGACCAAGACGACGGACACGGTGTGTGGCATTCGGCAGGTGAGCAGCGACGACTTCTGCTCCTTCCAAATGGAGCTGAGCAACGGGGCGTACGCAACCGTCACGCTGAACAGCCACTGTGCGGGCCAGTTCAGCCAGGAGCTCCTGGTGTGCGGTACACGCGGCAAGCTGGTGGTGCGCAGCGGGGATTTGCACGGACAGCGCAAAGGCGCCAAGGAGGAAGTGCTGTACCTGGACGTCGAGGACCTGAAGCAGGCGCCTGACTGCGTAGTGCCGAAGCCGCACGCCAAGGGACTCGTCAAGATGGTCACAGCGCTGCGAGATGCTTTCGCCTCGCGTGCCAACGCCCCTGGTTGGGCCAAGGAGCCTACAGAAAGTGCTGCTAGCTTCGAAGACGGCCTCTACATTCAAGCCATTATGGAAGCCGTTCGCCAATCATCGCAGACGCGTCAGTGGGTGCGCGTGCAGTTGTTACAGGACGAGGGCCGCAACAAGGGTGCCTTCTGCAGCCTCTATCAGATGGCCAGTGCTTCCATGTAACTACTCGTTAGCTTTATTTATTGCATTATGACGCACAAGTTCTACACACCTTGCCACCTCCACAGCACAGGGATGTACAAGTGCAGCTTCATCGTGCTAATCATGCAGAGTCCGCACGGGTTCTAAGTGTACATAGCTCTCGTGAAAACGGTGCCACTAAATTACAGTTCCCGCTGGACAGATTACCACCTGCATTTATGCATCCTCTTTTTTTCGCTCTTTTTTTCTGCCAGTATTTTCATGCAGGTGTAGCTGCCTTTTCATACTTACGGTGTGGCGAAGGACTGCACACTCAAAGTGTCCGCTGTTCTTGCTGGTTAACTTAGCACAGCATTTGAAGGTGCCTGAGTATGGAAAATTCAAAGCATCTCAGTAGTCATTGGCAGGTAGCAGCACATCATAGTCTTCTTGAGGCTCAGAATGAAGGGAAAGTGCAGCTGTGCATATGCAGGTATACAGCAAATTGTAGGTTGTGCTAACATTAACGTGGTGATCCATGTGCCCACGCTGAAGCTACATGTGCATTGTTGGTCCTGTTGTGATTACAAGGTAGCTGACGATCTCAGGTTGCTTTTAATCTCTGCTGTCATTGTTGGTACCTGTTCAAGTTTTGAATGAAATTCTAGTCCTTTTCTACAAATGGCATGTAGTGCTTATTAAGAAAAGGGTGCAGAGGCCCTTTTGCCAATGATCTTGGGCATATTTTGAGGGATTTCACTGTTTGTGCTCACTGCTGCATTTATTTTGTTTGGCAGCTTGTTCTCATTTATACAGTTGTTTTGCGAATCTGTAGGTGCTTCTTTTTCTTTTTTAATTACAACTCTGACATGTAATGTGCATGTATAACACACACACACAGATCTATATATATATATATCTATATATAATATATATATATTTATATTATATATATATTATATATATATATATTCTATATATATGAGATCTAACAGACAATATGCAAGGAATGTATAGGGGAAGTTATTAGAACCAATGTAATCTAAATAAGAAGAAAGAAAAGTGGATGAAAAAATAACTTGCCGGGAGCAGAATTGAACCTACAGCCTTCCAATAACGCGTTCGAATGCTCTAGCCACTGAGCTGTCACGACGGCTATCCCTCCAGCCACATTATTGGGTTAATATGTGAATTTAAACGTGGGAGTGTTAGTCAGCGCTATCTGATCTGTAGCCATGGCATCTTGTGTGAAACACCCTTTTATGAGCCTGTGTGGCGTCACGTGGCACGTGAACTTATTACGAGCAGGCAGGGGACCAATATTCCCTCGTATACAACCTAACGGCACAAGTCTGCCAGTACGAGACCCTTGTTAATGAATAAGGGAAAGAAGTCTATACCTAAGGGCTCGTTTTTCCGTGTTTTGACACTATATTAATGAGATCTAACACTATATTAGATCTCATTAATATAGTGTCAAAACACGGAAAAACAATCCCTTAGGTATTCACTTCTTTCCCTTATATATATATATATATATATATATACACACACACACACACACACACACACACACACACACACACACACACACACCACTTGTTTTCTCTCTATACTGTGATTGTCAATTTTCACATTCTTGTTCTAAAATGTTGCCATTGCTAAATGTTGTACTTAATGTAGTGCCTCCCAAGCTAATAATAAAGAAGTGTAACTGCTAGGCAAATGTTGTAAAACATTTTAGTGTTTTAAATCTGCAGACCTATTAGAATGCAATAAAGTTTGAAGTAATTAGCATTGTTGACAGTGTCCTTAATCTTTTATGTTATTGAACATATGAGATTGTCCCTGGCTTATTTATTATCAACTTACCTGCCCACTTCTTGCTATAATAATAATAATAAGAAGAAGAAGAATAATAATATTATTAATATTATTATTATTAGAAATGTCTTTTATTATGGCTGTCTTTAAGGAATGCTGTAGTGCAGGGACCACTTCTCTATGGGCACTGTATATCGTTCATGATTGCTGTCATCTAATATTGAGGCATTTGTTATTTTCTTGATCCTGGTGTAGTCTCATATTTAATTGGCTTTAAGTGTATGGAATAGTCAACATGCATAATTATCTGACGATCAAGTGTTTTCTCTCCACTTTAAGTGTGTCAAAAACTAGACTGTCTTTTTGTGTTTGGCAATGTCTTATCTCCTTTTGCCTCTGGAACTTTCACACAATTTTGTGTTGTTGAATGTCTGTGACATGTGCAACATAATAAATCAATGCACCCAGAAAGCATGTGCAAAACAGCATGTACAGATAATCTTGCAAAGCTTATTTGGTAATAGCAGAAGTTTTATGGCCATGTCAGGTATTAAAAGGCTGTATCTGTGATTCACTGCCTGGACTCTCCATGCTTACCTTGAAATGGTGCAGTAAATAACTTGAAGGGGCAAAATACACATAATACCTAAATTGCTTTTTTTTTAAGTGTCCTGTACAACTTTTCTAACAGAGGTAGAGTTTCTGGCTCAGGCCACGCCAATGTGATTTGGTATAGATTTCCCTGTGGCACCAAACAATTCAAAACGTAACTAAGGGCAAGTCTGAGCATGGAAGTAGCTTAAGCTGTTTTCTGTCTTGATCCAAGGCTTCCAGTGGTAAAATATTAACTGTAAAAGACTCCACTACAGTGAATGCTACTGTCATATAGTTAAAGAAAGTCTTGCATATTGTTTTGAGGCGCCTCCCTTCTTTCTCAGTAGAGCTGCCCCTGATACAGTGGCTTGAGCAGCATTGGCATAAACTTTAGGCTATACGCATTGTTGATGTTCATTCAGTATTGTCTTGTACAATATTTTTTATTAACTTTTCTCATTTTCTGTTTTGCCATTCTGGAAAAACTTCTATTCTATTCTTTTTTAGGTGCTTTACTTACAGAACCCCTAAACTACCCTGATGTCAGAATTTTTTATGTAGTGGCAGTTGTGTACAAGTTTACAGAAATGAAAAAAAAGGCAGGCATAGAATATGAATTACAGTAAAAGACAACACAGTGTTATGGTGTCCTTGCTGTCATCCCTACTCTGTGTGGTTGGTTCTTTTTATGCAATGTTCAAGCAACAAGCCCAAATCAGTATCCTTCCAAAATGAACGTATAGCTAATGGTAGTTTCTGAATGATACTGCAATAGAGTTACAGCTGTTATGTGATAATTAATGGGGCTGCTGCACATTTCTCCCTTTTCGTTACTGCAGTGATGTGGTAGCAAGCGATGAAATTGGCTGGGTAGTACAACTCTCAACTTTTCGCATTCACTTACACTGTCTTTAGGCTGTACAGCTGGCCTTCGTTGTTGTTTTTTTTATCCATTCAGGCCTCATTTCTTAGTTATTTCAATGCCTACTAAGGCAAATTAGCACCAGTGGTTAGAGCATCGAACGCGTTATTCGAAATTAGCACAGCTTGTCTCAAGTCACACCAGTGGCGAATCCAGAGGGGGGTAAGTAGGGGCGATTCTCCCCCCTCGAAGCCTGTGAGCACCCCTCCTTCTCTCTTCAGTGCTTGCCCTCCACTTGCTATCACCCATTAGGACAAATCAGTGGGATGCCGTTGAGCACACATTAACAGTATTTATGCTATGATAGAGTTTTTGTACTAGTAAAAACAAAAGTAATGACCCCCCCCCCCCTCTTTGGTGTTACTTTAAGCGATTGCCCCCCCCCCCCCCCTAAAATGAGTGGCTGGATCTGACCCCGAGTCACACTAGGCTGTAGCACAGCAGATCTGGTTGATATTCGGTTAATCTTAGCTTGATTATACTCAGTGATAACTTATCTTGACATTGGAGTGCAAATTATGGAGGTGGAGCTGCGCACATTTGTGTTACAGCGTAAGTAGTATGGAAGCTTCCGGCGAATTTTGGTTTTTCTCGCTTGCATCGTTAACAGGTGTAGCAAATACATTTACGAAAATGTGAATGGGAGAAACATTCAAATGGTTCAGGAAACAGTTTAGTGTCATATTACGAGTAATGTTTTTTCTTTGAACTAGACAGCGAGTTTGCAGCCGCACACTGATCCACTAAGCCATGGGCGTCATGTTTACTTTGGGAAACGGTTGTGCTAAAAAGGTGGTGCTAGCTAAGAAATTGAAAAAAAAATGGAAGCATTTCTGCACCGTGAACAATAACTGTACTTTACCTACGACTTTGGGCAACGGTCCGAGTGACAAAATCAATAAAGTAGGATTTATTTTATTGTCGCCGATGAGAAAATTATCATTAAACTGAAGCACTATTTTTTGGCACGTAGCAGGCATGGGCTGCGGTTCTGTAGCTTCAACGGTGCTGTTGAGAAAAGTTGTGTGCATTCACACACTGTTCCACAACATGTTCGCGTGATCACATGGTAAATCACTAGTACTGGCCAGGTACTAGGCCCAAACGGAGGAAGCGTAGAAGGGGTGAAGAGAAAACTTGGGATAGGCAAAAACCAGATGTATGCTCTAGGGGAAACAAAGACAAGTAACTACCGATATGAATAGGATAGGTAAAATAGCAAAGGAGTTTTTACAGAGATTTGTACAGTAGCCAAGACAACCATAATGTAAGAACTAGCAGTAACCCAGATGACATCCCACCAGTAATGACAGACGAAGTCAGAAAAGCCTTGGAGGGAATGCAAAGAGGCAAAACTGCTGGTGTGGATCGGGTAACATCAGATCTGCTGAAATACAGAGGATAGATTCTGTTGGAAAAACTAGCCACTCTGTTTACGAAGTGTCTCCTGACGGGGACGGTACCAGAATCTTGGAAGAATGTTAACATCATCTCAATACATGAGAGAAGAGATGACAAGGTTTCGAAGAATGACAGGCTGATCAGCTTGCTTTCCATCCTATACAAGCTATTTACTAAGGTAATTGCTAACAGAATTAATACGTTAAAATTCAATCAACCAAAGGGACAAGCAGGATTTCGGGCAGGCTGCTGAACAATCGACCACATTCATACTATCGATGAGATGATAGAAAAATGTTCAGAATACAGCCAACCACCATACATAGCCTTCATAGATTAGGAGAAGGCGTTTTGATTCAGTAGAAATATCAGCAGTCATGCAGACACTGCGGATCAGGGCGTCTACAAAGCATGTTTATTTATTTATTTCTGCTGGCTTGCTTTGCAAGCCATAAGCAAGAGTTGGTTGTACAAGTAGCTAAACGAAACAATAGTAACGAACTGTGAATACACATTGTCGGAAAAAGAAAAAAAATATTCAGAGTTCTGTCTTGATCAGTATATACAGCGTGTGAAATACTGGAAACAGTATAAAAAAAACAAAAACGTATTTCAGTATATAAAGTATTGCAGAAAATAACATGGATAGAAAACAACAGAACAAAAAAGCGAACCGTAGCTTAAAAAGTAACAACACAGGAATGAAAAAGAAAAGAAAAACGTGACACAAATGCGTAAAACAACACTTAATTACTGAGCGCTCAGCTCAGCAACAAAAAGAATATGTTTGTGTTGAAACACCTTGTGTCATAGATTAGTAAGAGCATGGACAAAAGACGATATGGTTGGGCTCTGCAGTACATGTTCAGGCAATGCATTCCATTCATGGATGGCACGAGGAAAAAAAGACTGTTTGAAGATGTTGGTTCGGCAGGAATATTCAGTTAATTTGAGTGAGTAGGGCGCCGGCCACATGGTTTGATGTACAAGTCCTTGTCTATTTTAACGTATTCGTGGTGAATTAGGTAGAACATTTTAAGTCTTTCTCGATGGCATCATGTCTCTAGAGGTTCAAGGTTCGCATCTTGTAGTAAAGCACTCACGGATGTGTGTTGATGATAGGAATTGAAAATGAGTCTGATTTTCATTGTAT